CGTAGCACTTGTGAAAGATGGATTTAAATTTGTGAGACGAATAGAAAACAACATAAAATTTCAATTTCCTAACCTTCCCCTCTGAAAATCCCAAACAAAAATCTAAGCACACACTCAGGCAGGATCACGACAATGTGCGCTTTGAGCCGCTACTGCGGTACAAGACGCATACAAAGCATGATAACTTTCACTAGTTGGCGTATGCAATTGTTTTTTCTTTGTTATATATACATATATATATATATGTTGTATATATATATATACATGTATATATATATATATATATATATATATATATACATATACATATATATTGGCTGGGCATTGTAGAGCCGCTGCTGCTAAAAAATTCTAGAAAACTGCTCCACGAAACTGGCAAGCAGTCCATCAGCCATTTATTTGACCATTTCGGTGGTAAATTGGTACTGGCGTACACCAGAGAATCAAACTCGCCATCGTCTCCATCTTTCAAAAGAGGAGGCCATTGATAGTTTTGACAGCAGGTGACTGTTGGTGGCTACCATAATGGACTACGTCTCGACTCTCTCCGCTTATCATAGACTGCGGACAGAGTAGCGGCGCGGGGTCACTTGATCTGTCCAGCATTAATTTTGGTGCCGGATTTGACGTGTCTAATCAAATCTTTCGTTTCCAGTGTTAATTGTCAGTTATTCATAGCACATTTCCTGAAATCATTTTTTCTTGATTTAGACGGTGTTAAAATGAGTATCCTGTTCAGCCAAACTCTTTATCATTTGAGTCTTTTCTTTGCAGTCGGAAAGCAGCAGTACAAAAAGAGAGACACAGGATAAACCTCAAGAAAAAGCGACACCTGCGAAATCACCCATGGCGCAGGTGAAAGAAGTCAAGTCTCGGGGAGATAAATCGCCGGTGGCGAAAGTGCGTTCGGGCGGGAAGGAAGCGAATGCGCAGAAAACTACAGATCAGAAGGGCCCAGAAGCAAATGCGCAAAAACCTTTGGACCAGAAATGCTCAGAAGCGAGCGGTCCTACAAGCGATCGTGCTATGCGGGCAGGAAAAATTCTAGACATGCCAGCACAAGCAGCAGTAACACCCAGTTTGGGTGAAATCTCATTCGCAGTGCCAAAAAGCGCATCGAAATCGATCTCGATGAGAGCGGGGAAGTGGTCCTCTTCTGATGCTTTCATTTCGCCAACATTCAATGGAAATGAGGAAGACGATTATTATCACGGGTATGTTATCTCTGCTGCTGAACTAAGTCGTACGTAGCCAACTGCAATTTCTTATGAGGTTTGTTAAGTGCTTAAAACTGGTATCCAGGCTGGTCCACCAGAAGTCACTGTTTCCTTTCTTTTTGCCTACTCCT